ACATGTATAAATATAGTAAATATTCTACAACATTCCAATTTAAAGAAACTGCATTATTTGAATATGCATGATTATCCATAAAAATATATATTGACTGACTGACTGATAGATTAGGAGGGCATATAATTTTACGCCTGTCTGTTCGTTTATCTGTCTGTTTGTACATGAACCAGAACAAGCTCTACCTGCCAGAATCATGTAGAGGAGCAACACTCAAACTCAAAACCCACAAACTTGAGGGGGACATAGCATTCATTCAAACATAGATCTTGTGAAGGTTGTATAACTACAGTACTGGACACGCGAAACCCGCACAATTCGCGTATTCGCGGCGAACTCTCATGCTTTATAACGCGAGCGAATTCGCGGCAACTTGAGAAAATCGCCGCGAATTCAACTCGCGGCGATTTTGCCGTGAACATTTGCCGCGATTCGCGGGGAATAATACATGTTCATTTGTATAATAAATGTAGATCTATTTATAAGTGTAGTCTGTGAACTTGAAACCAGATATACATGTACAAGTACGAAAATTAATTAGTAGATCTACATGAAGTTGTATCAAGAAAATCTTGTAATTTGCTAAAATGCCCTTTCTCTATTTATCTTTGATGCCAACAGCAAATATAAATAACCACGGCGAAATCAAATAACACTGTTAAAAACTTTCCGTGAATGGCGGAATCATGACCTCAATGTATAAATGCGACGCAGTACAAGTATGCGGCTCCATCTGCAGGTAAATAGTGTGCATGTACACGTGTAAAACTATTTTTAGGGGGGTGGGGGGTACATATTGAGTTTAAAGTAGAGATATAAATATAATATATGTGTAAAAAGATATTTAGTTACATAAAAAGATACATAATTGATACGACATTAACTTGTTCATTTCTAAATGTAGTGGATCACCGGGACATTTCGTTCTCTCGGGTGATCATTACTCAATTTATTACACGTTTGTAAAAAATAACACACGCAAGATTTGTCTGCTATAATTTCTGAATGGCGGATATTTGCACCCCTGTTTTAAAAATGTTAAAATATTTCATTGTTAGTTACCGAAAATTATCGCCGATTGTTGAAATTCCATAGCGCTAAAAGACACAAAAACACTCGCGCAAAAAGAAGCATCATAAATAAAAGGAATATAATGTTTCCATTGTTAAATAATAAATACAAAATTTACACACGAAATGACCTCTGACAAATGACTGGTCGGCTCTTCTGAAGAATCTGTGAATCTTTGATGTTTACACACCTGTAGTTGTTGCCGAATCATCAAAGAAATGCCGACACTCGATTGACTTTCACCTCTTTTTTATATATCAGAAAAAAACTGTCATTTCTTTTTGTCAAGGAATGATTACACATGTTTAATTATTGCTCAAGTAAAAAAAATGTTGGATATTGATTGTGTCAATTATTGACATATTATTAATCGTAAGTGCATTTTGATTGTGATATTTTATTTACATTTTAATGATCTTGAAGATATTGTGCAATACTTGTGTCTGCTATCAAAACAATAATGCATATGAAAGGATATTTTTTCGGTCAATTTTATGACCACGCTTCTACCAGAAATGTTTTATTGCATGGACTTATAGTATTTAATCAGTGTCGTCAGTCATAAACAAACGAACATGTACCCCAAAGCACATTAAAATTACCACATGGTAAACTAGTGACCATATAAATGCTTTACAAATATTCATTAATTTGAAAAAAAAATTTTAATCCCGTTTCCACACCTTAATTTGATACGTGCTATTATTAGTTAATTCAACTTAATTGCCGCGCGCATGCAGTACTGCGTGACGTAAGGAAAATATCCTTCCCTGGTTGGTCGCTATTTATGTAAATACTTTAAATAGTAACACCCTAATTTTATGCACAGAATGCCCTCATGAATGATCACTCGTTACTTTACATATTAAATGTGTGATTTAACTCCGATTTTATTTTTTGTTTTCGAGGGAATTTTTTGGGTCAAATGCCCTGGCTGATTTGGCGGGAATAAAAAAAATCTGATTTGCATCTTGCTACTCATCACCTACTCATGCACCTGGCATTTTTTACTCGTGAAATTGAAGGTAAAGAATGTCAATTTAAGTGATAAAACTTTTACAATTTTCAACAATCATAATTAGCGTATTAGACGTAATAATTAGTTACACCTGTGAATCGGTGCTAAATGTCGCTTTGCATTGTTCTAAAAATAGAATATGTGCGAAAGTAAACAATGGATTTATTTACATTTGTATTATTATCAAAATAACAATTGGACAATTTGTTATCGTGCGTTCTTTGATGTAGTACCAATTACCTTTTGTAATTTCAATCTCGTTTTATTGTTAACTAATTTTCACCAGCACCTGATTGCTTTGTTTTAATATACAAAATGTATACGCTGTACATGTTCAAATGCTAAATATTTATAAATATACAAGACGTTTACAAGATTTTTTTAAAGTTTTCAAAATTAAAGACCACGGGAATTAAGGACCAAGTAGTACTTTCTAATACAATTATTGCTGAAGATTCGCCGTAAATTACGGCGATACATCGCGGCGATTTTTCGTGACCCGCCACGAAATTCGGCGAACTTGCACGCGGCGATGTTTTACCGCGAAGTGTCCCGTCGCGACATAGACTACACTCGCGGCATAACGCGACTTTTGCGGGTTTCGCGTGTCCAGTACTGTAAATGGTTATATATATTGAGATTTTCATTGGATAGGAAATTTTACCTTACATATGTTACCATTAGAAAGATTAGATCAGATTGATAATTAGATAGATGGAATGCTCTATAACTTTTAGCTATCATAGTTGGTGTGACATTAACAATAATATTTTCTATCAAATGTATGAATCAATGGATAAAATTATATGATGCTTTAAATACACACTGGTTTTTTGGAGGGGTTGACTTCAGTGGCTTTTGTATATTGTAAAACTATGTGACCATTTATATATTGCAGACCTATTATTATGTACACACCGTCTCTACTGGTGGTATGACGTGTGGTGCGACCTTATTGGCACTTATATTCACTGACTTAAGTCAAAATTACAATTTAATAAATAATGTAGGGTTTTACATCACATTCATAAATAAGGGGTCCAATGAATGCACAATAAGAAAGTTCGGGTACAAAGCCCAATTTTATGGGATTCAATATTATATAACTACATGTATATACTGACAAAGATGGCACCGAGAATCATAAACACAGTTTGTACCTTGCAGATCATTTTCTTGATTTGGTAGGCATACTCATAACAAGGACATTTAAATTCATTTAGTAACAAAATATTAAATTATCTACCTTATTATATAAGCTAAAGTTTGTGTTTATGAAAAACATCATCATGTTTTTTTTCAAGGACTTTTATTCTTTTACTTTCAATTTGGATTTTTTTCCTGTGGATTTGGAAAAAAATACACTAATTTCAATTGGGAATATGACCGAATATGACCGAATATCAGCTATAAAATAAGCCCCAAAAAATCCCAGCTATGTTGTAGAACATTTTTTTTTCTATTTTATTTTCCTTTACAAAATGAAATTATTAACTGACACAATCAAAATTGAGCCCGTTAATCAAGTCTGCCCTTCCTGTTTAATAAATATAAATTAATGAATGAAATTATTTACTGATATAATCAAAACTGAGACGGTCAACCCTGCCCTACATGTTTAATAAATGTCAATTAATGAATGAAATTGTTGACCAACATTATTATTGCAATATAAATGTAATAATCTAAATTTGCCAATGGGTATGTTTTATGCCAGTTAATCAACACTGCCCAACTTATTTAATAAATGTAAATTAATGAATGAAATTACTGACCGATGTTATTGAAACATAAGTAATAATCTATACTGCCAATGGGTTTTTTGTGAGTACACTTGGACGCAAGAAGATAATTATTATAAAAGAAAGAAGATTTTTGTATATAATTAATTATAGGAAAGCAGGTCTTGTGTACTATTGCATTATTACCTTTGGTAAAACGGAGTTACCTTTCATGGCTACATTATAAAATACCTATACATATACAGATTTGAGTACAAAAACACTCAAAAAAGCCAAGGACAAAATGTTCATAGTTATTAAAGTGTACTTTTAACAAAACTAGATCACTGCACAATATTTCTGATTTTAATTCTCAGCACTCGGCAATAATTTTATGCATGACAAAATTTTAATGAAGTATGCAATTTTCAATCCCTAAAATAGCATATAATCTGTCTGCAAATCAAAATTTAAATCTTTTTCTTTCCTTTAAAATTTCAAATACCATTTCAAATCGTTTAAAATTTCTGTAAGAAAACAGTTTTTATCAAAACATTAACTAGCTGAATTTGTATAATGGATTTGCCCAGCTTTGAATTTGGAACAGTCCATTCAATGTTAAAAGGATTTCAATATAAAAACCCAAACATTTGAGCTACCAACAGAATAATGGATTTATCTCGCTACAGTGTTAGAGCAGTACCTCTAGACACTTGCAGAAATCATGATCTCAAAGATGAAAAATATCGCTTTTTTGCAAATTCTTACATTTTTCGACCATCATTGTATATTAATCGGTGTGAATAGATAATTTTAAAATGCATTTTGGCAAGTGAAAAGGCTAAATTCAATTAGGAATTTTTGTCGAAGAAATAAGAAAGAATTTTTTTTCTATTTGGTTTCCAAACAATGGCTATAAAATAGGCACCCTTACACCCTTTGTATAAATCATGTGTAAACTACAGAGCCATCTCTGAAGAGCGGCCCTCCGAAAAAGCAATAACACCCTTCCATCAACAATAATAATTCTTCCCACAAGTAAAACTTTACAATATATTAAATTTATTTTAAACTCTCTCCAGAACAACACCTCTTAGGACCAACCAATATCTCTGTAAACTGGTCTTCAAAAGGGTGGTTCCCCTGCAGAGGTTACACTGTAGAATACAAGAGCTCATGTTCAGACTTACCAGTAGTTAGCAGCTGTGCAAGGTATGAATTCTGTTGAGAAATGCTGGACTGGGTGGTGGTAGGTGTTGGCGCGAGAGGACGCTGTTTCCCACGAACTTTGAGAGGAGCCTGAAAAAATATCATAGTAATATAGGTCAAATGTAAACCCTTAACCTGCTGAATTTTGTTATTAATGTTCACGAACTTCCTTTTTTTGGAACTGTCCATTATCAATTTTGGGGATATCAGGATGAAAGTTTAACGTTGTTTGGACAACAGTATAAAGTATGGTCAGACTGCACCGAAGTGCTTGGCTCTATATTGGTTGCAAAGGCTAATGACTTTTTAACAACAAAATTTATCAAATATATGTCTTTGATATGTATATGTGCAGCTCTGACCGGCTGATGATAAGTATTCACTTAACAAGTCCACAGAAAGACGTGTTGACCTGATGGTTTTATGAAGGCGTGATGTTTCTTTAAAGATAGGCATATAAAATATATACATTTTTATAGCCTGCAGTATATGATATAAACATTTATAAACTTACTTTTTCTGTAAATTTATAGCTTTTCTGACCAGATAAAAGTTTTTGAAGCTGAATTCATTAAAATGTGTCTGACAGTCATACTGTTAAGACGGACATTTGTCATCAAAGTGATCAGACTGGTCAAATTTCTAGGACATTCTCAAACCAAGTTGCACTTTGCAACCAAATCTAGTAATATTGTAACAGACGAAAAATAACCTCAAAGAATGGTAAATATCTGTGAAATCTCTGGGGAAAAAAAAGGTCATTAAACTTTGGGTATTCCAAAAAGTGTTTTTGATGGAACAGAAAAAATAAAAACCTATGAAAGTATAGTAAAGATGTACATAAATTTTCGTTATTTTTTTCCAGAAAAACTTCATAATTTGGAGATTTCTTTCCCCACCAGTTTCACAGTATTGATTCACAAGGGGAAACAATCGCTGGTTTATATTCATGTCATTAATTCATTCAGTGTCTAAGTATGGCCATATAAATGAAAATTATGTAATATACAGTCAAAACTGTCTTATGTGACCCTACAGGGGACTTTCTTCAGAAGGTCACATAAGACAGGGAGTCTCTTAATACAGGTTTACAGTAAAACATCCAAACACTATTAAAATAATACTAATACAGCATAAACGTTTAGTGTTAAAACATTTATTTATGATAAGAGCAGTAAAAGTGTGTACAGTTAAATTTGTATACATGTAAATTGCTATTGAATATTTGATTGTAAAATTGATTATTAAAAATTAATGTTAATATATTAAATAAAATTATTAAAATGTCAGAATTATATTGTTTCTTTACCATGTTAAAAATTTATACATTTACAATGTTATTGATATTTAAAATTCATGATTATGAAACTAATAAAATAATGCCAGAATCACAGTCTGTCTTTCATTTAAGTTGTCCTATTGAAAAAATCACTTATTTTTGACTGTTTACTTTTGCTTGCAACTAGACTTGAAAATTCATCCTCTAGTTTTGACAAATGGTACATTATACTGGCATGTCCATGTTGCAATGCATAAGATTTCAGTTGAAACACCATTTCATTTGCTTGGGTCAGTGATGGAGCATTTTGCATGACAGACCCTTGAGCGTCATCCATCTCTTCAATTTCATCTTCACTGTCATCAGAATTTTCCTCATTTATTTGAGTCAATATGTCACATACAGGTTTGTCCCAATTAATACTTTCTGTATCACAAGTGTGAAGCTGATTATCAATTTGTAGCAAATCATTGAACGAGCACCCAAAAATTTCATATGACATTTTTAGGGCAGACAGTGGAACATCATCATCATCATCATCCATAACATCTTGATGTTGTTGCTCAATACCTAGTGTGTTACTACCAATTTCAATTTCATCACTTGCACATACTGATTCATTTTGATCGATTTTACTAAAATCATTTGCAAACCCTGATTTTTTAAAGCACTTTTGAATTGTTAATTCTGTCACTTCATCCCAAGCATTTGAAAGCCAGTAGATTGCATCTAGGATACTGATTTGTTTCAGTAACTCAGTTCCTCCTAAGCTGGGCTGCCTGTCCATTTCTTTCACAATGTGAATAAGCTGAAATATAAAGAAAAATATAAGGGGGTTAAAATTTCCACAAATATCATGTTGAAATGATTGTCATTAAGATTGGACATCATTTTTATTATTATTATTATTATTTTATAATTAAAATAAATATTCTACTGTATTTAAGGAAACAACCGACAAAATTTAAGTTATTTAAATGAATAAAAAAAATAAATTTCTACTGTTTTTGTTATGATAGATATAAATTCTACAGTCATTCTTTGATCAAGCAATATGACAACAATTGAATAAAATAATAAAGTACCTGACGTTTCCTTATTTTGAGTTTTGTAGCCTGGATTATTCCCTGATCCATTGGTTGAGTAAGGGAAGTGGTATTAGGTGGCAGGAACTGGACCTTGACGTTGCTCAGATCCATATTTGGGTGTGACGGGGCATTATCAACAAACAGAAGAATCTTTCTTTTATCCATTTTCATTTTCCGATTAACATTTTTGAGAAAGTCTTGGTAAATTTTACCAGTCATCCAAGCTTTTTTGTTAAAATAATAATCAACAGGTAAATGTTCTTTCCTAATTCTTTTAAAACATCTAGGCTCCTTTGATTTGCCTATGACAAGGGGCTTTAACTTTTCACCAGTTAAACTGGCACAGAGAGCAACTGTTATCCTCTCTTTTGATCGTTTACCGCCGGAACAATCATCACCTTTAAAATGGAAAGTTTTTCTTGATGTATCCAGAAAAAACAACCCTGTTTCATCCATATTAAAAATGTTATCAGCAGAATAGTCTTTACACAGATCTGGAAGTCGAGATTTCCATTCATTCACTGTATGCTGCTTGACGTCACCCCTTTCACCACTCATGCTTCCGAAAGAAATATTGTTGCGCTTAATGAAGCTTTCTAGCCAACCATTTGATGCTTTAAATTCAAAAATATTTAATTTGGATGCAAAGTCTAATGCTTTTGTTTTTAACAAAGGACCTGTAACCACAATTTTTCTTTTCACTGCATCCTGAAACCAAGTCAAGGTTAAGTCATTGATTTTCTCGTTACCAGTTGCATGTCTCCGACGTTTAGAATTCAACGGAACATTATTTTCAAAGTCCGAAATTACTTCCAATTTACGTTTACGAAGGTTTTGGATTTGTGTTTTTCCAACACAAAGTTCTTCTGCCACTTTATACGCCGGTATTCCTTTATCCAATTTTTGTAAGGCTTCATATTTCTGTTGAAGATCTAAAACAATACGTGTTTTCTTTCTTTCCGACATTTTTTTTTCAACGAAACAGGAAGTACGAACAGAGTTGTCTTTCATAACATAGTCGCTAAAAACAGTGCTTAGCCCGTTCCGGACCGTTCAAATCACGGTCGCTAGTCACGTAACACGGTGAGTCGTTTAATACAGTGCAACTTTATAGCCAAAATCGTTGGGCGGACCCAAATAGGGTCACATAAGACAGGAAGTCGCTGAATACAGTGGGTCACTATGGCAGTTTTGACTGTATATATATAGTAACATATAATAGTAAGAGAATACATTCAGACTCATTAAACACTGGTAAATAAAGACTCACTTCGAGAAAATAATTAAAGGGAGATAATAACAATGCATTTCAACAAATTAAGCTTCTTGCACTTACTTTTCCTTACACTTTATTGTATCATTTAATGCTACTTATGTAATTTAAAGTTTATAGTATTAAAGCTACTATCCCACACATGGTGGTTTCAGTGTTTTTGAAATAAAATAAATAAAAAGATATAATTTCACCACAGGCTCATATATTTATATGGAACTAGATGATTAATATGTCTTGCTCGACAAAAAACCATAATAAGTTATGCATTTGCACTTTTACATTCTAAAATTTTAAACCGTTGCAACGTTTTATTTTGTAAACATTGACTTCAATTAGAATCCTATATAAGCACACCCGTCAACTGGTTACACGAAGAAAAGATGGTTGCGGGTAGAACTGTTGTGTGCCAGGAAAGTATTTTTGATTCTGCAATCAATACTGTTAGTAAGTAATTCCTTTAAAAAGTGACATAAAAGAAAAACATATTATGTTAATTTGGTCTAAAACTGACATTTATCAAACCTGCAAACAGCTGTTCTACTCGCTACCAGTTAACGGGAGTGATAAACAGCAGTGTTTATATCTGACTCAAAAGAAGCATAACAACTGCGGCGTTTAAACAGAGTAAAAGCTTATTTAGGAAAATAGTAATATGTCCCAAAGTCCCACTATTTGCTTACATTCACAGATGCCGAGCCAGGAAATTTTTTGTTTTATGAAGGGAGTCGTCAAAATTTGATTTATAAGGGTTAATTATTATGCATATGTGGGTTGGCATTCACAAGTTCTTCAGACTAATCAGAGTGGGGTTATGAGTTAAAATTCTGTTGATTTTCACTTTTTTTTTTGAAGGTTTTTTTTTGCCAAGTCTGAGGATCATGCCAACAATAACTGTACATATTTTCAAATATATCATTCTGTAAAGATTCCATGACAAGCATGACAAGGCCGCGTATCTACGGAATACAGTTTAACTTCATTCGTTTGAATACCTCCCTTTGCTCCAACTCACCATCCGTTCAAGGCAAAATCCTATATAATATATATTGATTTACCATGGATTGCTTAAATACCGATCGCTGGGCACCGATGACTCGAACTATTGAATCTGATCTTTAGTCCCTTTGGCAGCAATATATACCTCAGCTCAATATTGTTGTTAGTCTATTAAAGAAACACGTGAATAAAACATTGATGTTTAAAACATATACTTACATTTGGTATAATAAATCCAGCTTGATCTTTTAACACTCTGCCTTGCTGATCCGCACCACCCGACATATCTGCCCTTTTCTGTATGGGCGTTTGAGTTTTTTGGCTAACGTTCACTTTATTTCTAGTACTTTGGTTTTCATCAACACTCAATGCTTCAAGAATACTAGTTGTTCCAATTTTTCCTCTTTGCTTTGGTTTGGAATTATTTTGCGGAATTTTTTGTGAATTACTAGCTCCTCCAGAACCAGAATTTGGACTGTTTGCATTAATTAATCCCAATAACAAAGAATTGTCTGTTGTTGCTGGCGTGTTTTGAGTTTGTGTGTGACTCAACTGTGACTGAAGTTGACTTTGAGATGCTAGCTGACTTTGCTGCGTCTGCAACATAGTTTGTACCTGGAGTTGATTTTGCGTCTGCTGCAAAGTCTGCTGCTGATTTTGCAAGCCTTTTAGTAACTCCTCAATGATGTTTGTGGCATTACTCGAGTTTAAGATCACATTTTTTAATTGTGTATTTTGTAATAACTGTAAGATCTGCTCTTGCTGCTGTTTCTGCTGCTGCTGCTCTTGTTGTATTGCTTGCATTTGTTGTTGTTGTTGCTGCTGTCGCTTCTGCTCCAGCTGCTGTTGTTTCTGCAGCTGGAGCTGTTGTTTTTGCTGCTCCAACTGTTGTTGTTGTTGTTTTTGCTGTTCTTGCAACTGTTGCTTTTGTTGATTCTGCTGTTGAATTAATTGCAATTGGTTGAGAATAAAATTGTCTGTGTCAACCATCATTTGTTGTGCTGTGTCACCCACTGGACTAGGGGTAGGTGTGGCAACTGGACTATCAAATAAGCCACTATTGCTGGGAGTGGGCGGAGTCTGTGGAGACATGGCCAACTGTGGGGACGGTACCATTGATGTTGAGCCCATGTCAACATCCATCGAAGACACCCGAAGAGACTGGCCAATCTAAAGGTAAGAACATTGTTATATCACTTTGTTCCGTTATAAGACAAGTTCTTTAAAACGATTTAAAAAATACAACTTAACAAACACCCCTATAACCTGCCAATTGATTAAAAGGGACTTTGCATTTTCTAATTTTCAGGAGCTATCAAGCATTATGTGTCATTTGTAATTCTGTTCAGGTGCCCACTTGTGCCAGAAATATTGCACGATTGGGCACTAGAGGTCTTACTCCACCAGTAAACAAGGTAAGACACCACATGATCTTAACTATGTTGATGTGACTTAAGATCCTACAAATAACAAAGTCACATCAGTTTTATATCTATTAATTCCAGGAAGACGTTCATCAACATTTTTTGAATTCATCAAAAATAATTTTTTTTTCAAAAATGTAGAAACAATACCTGCATTGCACTTTGACTAGATGATGATGGTTTCGAACTGGACAAAAACTCTGCAAGAAAAAACAAAGACTTATTTATTATATCAGACTTCTTCCGATATATTTCTACGCATAACACTTTTAAAGATGTTATACAAATACAACTATGTAAATGCAACTTCAAACGTCTTTCACAGACCAACAAATGATACTTTTAGAGGTAGTTGAATGACAATATCAAGTTATTATGAACCAAACAGCATTTACGTATTACGGAGAAAATCTTTTTCATGCAGGTTACATATCAAGCAAATCATTGAGTGAAAAACACTTTCAAAATGCACACTAGAGTTATCAATGGTTCAGTCAAAAGCATAATGACAAGATAGCGGATGACAAATATTAACAATTCATACCAAGTGTAACTTATCTACACTTCACTTTTATACTTGTTTTATTTCAGTGAAATACATGTCCTGTGAATACAATTGATTTATGTTGTTTAAAAATACTCTCTGCATATCTTATTTTTCAAACTGTTTTTTTTTTTGTGCCTTTTTTTCTTCTTCTTTGTCATCACTGCTACGAAATATGTCCTGTACACAACAATAGCATAGTTTTATACACACCCCAAAAGGCACGAACTTCCATTTATGTTTTAGGTGAATTTCCATCATTTCTACACACTTTATTAATTAATTAGTTAAAATTATCGTTTTTTTCCTTCAAATCTTACAATATATATCAATTAGGGCATCCATTGGTGGTTTGCTTGTTTGATTGGGTTTTACGTCAAACTGACATAGAATAGGTCATATGGCAACGTTCCAGCTTTACTGGTGGAGGAAGACCTTCAGTGCATTATTTCAGGCATGAACGGACACCCAAGTAGAGCAACTGATGTTCCTTTATTCGATTGGTGGAAGTTTGGGGAGTCATTTACTCTAGATTTTGGCTTGTGACTTCCAAAATAGAATGCTTTTCCTTCTTTACCTACATAATGTGACTTTCAAGACATTTTGCAGGCTATGACTTCCAAAAGTTTGGATTTAAATGGAAGCCCTGATCAACATCATTTCTATGTTTAACTGCTGTAATTCATTCATAACAAAAAGACCATAAATGCATTTAATAATGCTGAATCACTATACAAGGCCCAATCAAACAAAAAAACAAGAAACATGGCAATGCCATGAAACCAGGTTTTCAATTATCACCATTGTAGATAAATATGTTGTATTTGAAATACAAATACAAGCAACAAACAATGTAACTATGTGCAATGTAAAACATGAATAATGTAGGAGGAATTGCGCACAGAAGAAGTGTTCACTATATATATTCTGTATAAGGAAAAAAAACAAAGGGCCATAATTAGGTAAACAAGAACCGGTTGAACCGGGTGATGCTCCCCGAGAAGGTTCTGGACACAGGAAAGTATAAAAAAAATGAACAAAGGGCAAAAACTCCAAAATTAGGCAAAGCGGAGTTATGTTTTTTTGCACTGCACTTCTATTCAATGAGATCTATCTATCTATAAAGTTTCCTGATGATATCAGAATTATGTCCCAGGTAAAAGTCAAAGTGTAAAAATGAACAAAGGGCAATAACTCCAAAATTAGACCAGGCTTTGTTTAGGTTCTTTAAGCATTGCAATTCTATCCAATTATATCTAGCTACCTACAAAGTTTCATGTTGATATCTCTAATAGTTTTAAAGTATTGTCCAGGACAAAGTCAAAAAGTAAAAATAAACAAAGGGCAATTACTTCAAAATACGGCAAGGCAGAGTTACGGTTCTTGTGCATTGCACTTCCACCCAATGAGACCTATCTATCTACAAAGTTTCATGTTGATATCTCTTATAATTTTAGAGTAATGTCCCAGACAAAGTCAAAGTGTCAAAATGAACAAAGGGCAATAACTCCAAAAGTAGGCAAGGCAGAGTTACCGTTCTTGTGCACTGCACACCTACTCAATGAGATCTATCTACCTACAAAGTTTCATGTTGATACCTCTTATACTTTTAGAGTTATGTCCCGGACAAAGATCAAAGTGTAAAATAAACAAAGGGGATAATTCAAAAATAAGACAAGGCAGAGTTACCGTTCTTGTGCACTGCACACCTACTCACTGAGATCTATCTACCTACAAAGTTTCATGTTGATACCTCTTATACTTTTAGAGTTATGTCCCGGACAAATTTCAAAGTGTAAAATAAACAAAGGGGGTAATTCAAAAATTAGGCAAGGCAGAGTTACAGTTCTTGTGCACTGCACACCTACTCAATGAGATCTATCTACCTACAAAGTTTCATGTTGATACCTCTTATACTTTTAGAGTTATGTCCCGGACAAAGTTCAAAGTGTAAAATAAACAAAGGGGGATAATTCAAAAATTAGGCAAGGCAGAGTTATGGTTCTTGTGCATTGCACACCTACTCAATGAGATCTATCTACCTACAAAGTTTCATGTTGATACCTCTTATACTTTTAGAGTTATGTCCCAGACAAAGTTCAAAGTGTAACAAGTTAAAATCATGTAAACAGGATTTTCAATGTTAATGTCACTGTGACCTTGACCTTGGAGCCAGCCATGCGGAACATGCGTTCTGCACGTCATCTTGATGTGGTAAACATTTGTCTGAAGTTTCATCAAAATTCTTCAAAGGGTTGAAGAGTTACAGAGCGGACAGGATTTTCAATGTTAATGTCACTGTGACCTTGACCTTGGAGCCAGCCATGCGGAACATGCGTTCTGCACGTCATCTTGATGTGGTAAACATTTGCCTGAAGTTTCATCAAAATTCTTCAAAGGGTTGAAGAGTTACAGAGCGGACACAATTTCGTTTGACGCCCGCCCGCCCATCCGCCCAGCCGCCCATCCGCCCGCCATACCCCAATCTAATAACCAGGATTTTCAAAATTGAAAACCTGGTTAAAAACAAATTTTCTTCTTCACCAGCAATTGGGTCCAGATCCATGAAATCTTCAAGGTTAGGTTGCAAGCCAGGCTGTAGGTTAGGCTGAAACTGAAGGAGTCCAGGCTGAATGTAATCACCATATCCAAAACCAGCTGGGAAAAAAAGAAAGGTAATGTTTTAGAACTTTGTATATATTCCACTATCATCATTACATTCATTACATCATGTCACAAGCTCTAAACACAAGCAGGGCCAGCAAAATCTGATTTTGCCTTACTTGTCTGTTTTATCAAAAGCATAAATTTGTTAACTTGTCCATATGATATTTATGTAGTAATTTCTTGAAAATTTCTTTTTGTTCATACAGGCTTTGGGACAATCTGGGCAATACAGACAATTGATTTTGAGGCCCCTGCGCCAGTAGCATTATCATAGATATTTTTTTGTGGTTTGGTTTTAAGTCCCACTGACACTTTAAAAGTCATATGGCAACTTTCTGGCGTTTCTGGTGAAGGAAGTCCTCAGATGTCCTTCCTTGCATTATTTCAGGCACAAGCAAGCACCTGATTAGCATAGATAGAAATGGCAGTATTGTCATCACTTTCCAAATTTATCATTATGCAGGGCTATTATTGTTATTAATATCTTAGGGATTAACTAAAAATATATTACAAATCAATAACCAGTCTTTTGCCTTGTTGTTTCAAAGGAATGAAATCATTTGCATTTTTGCCCATATATACTTTGTTACAAAATTGATCACGGCAATGAGCATTTTTACCACAACAGACCTCACTGCCTCATAAATAGCTCACTGATAAGCAAAAGCAAGCTTTTACTTACACAATTCTCTAGGATTAGGAAAGTCAAATGGTTGTTTGAGTGTAGAGAAGAGACTATCTGAGAGATCCATCATTTCTTGTAAATCTCGTGTATTCAGCAGAAGATCTGTGTTTGACGTCTGCTGCTGTTTCGGGATACCCGATAATGAATACACCTCGCCAACTCTCTCCAAAAGGCTAAAATCCTGAAGGACACAAAACAGTAAAGATTTAACTAGTTCAGTACTTTATGCAATTACATGATGATGTGTGTGTGTTTGTGTATACACGTTGTATTGTATAATGGCCTTCATACAGAGGTGTCTGCCACATCTAAGGCAAAACTCAGACAAACTGTATTTTGTTAAACATTATGTAAAGAAATTACCATTTTCATCTAAAGGGAAACAATTTATACAAGATTTGCAGAGGTACACTAGGTAATGATCCATGCCAAACGTCTAAGCCCTTGGCTTTCCATTTTCTGGGGGATTAAATGTATTTTAATATAATTATAAAGTCTTCCAAAATTTTGTCCTCAGATTAGCTAGAAAATGTATTAACATTGACCATTTTATAATCAACTCCAATTTTAAGGTGACAAAGATCTACTTACATTAGTTTCAGCACCACCCAATTCAGAGCTGGGTTTGAATCGTTTCTGTGTAAAGAATTTACGCCACATTTTGTACTCCTTAGCAATTGTATCTAGCCTTCTTTTCCAGTAATATCCTTCTAACACAACAGCCTGATAACATAATAATACACATTGATTTAGAAAAACAGCACGCCCAGTAACAATATCAACAATACAGTCTTATAGATATATAACACCACAGCCTTATAGATATATGACACAGACACTACAGAATCTGACATCACAGCCTAATAGATAAATGACAACACAGCCTTATACCACAGTCCCAAAGATATATGAGATCACAGCCTGATGATATATGAGATCACAGCCTGATGATATATGACACCACAGCCTGATGATATATGAGATCACAGCCTGATGATATATGAGATCACAGCCTGATGATATATGACATCACAGCCTGATGATATATGAGATCACAGCCTGATGATATATGACACCACAGCCTGATGATATATGAGATCACAGCCTGATGATATATGAGATCACAGCCTGATGATATATGGCATCACAGCCTGATGATAAATGACACCACAGCCTGATGATATATGAGATCACAGCCTGATGATATATGGCACAACAGCCTGATGATTTTGACATCCCAGCCTGGTGATATATGACATCACAGCCTGATGATATATGAGATCACAGCCTGGTGATATATGAGATCACAGCCTGGTGATATATGACATCACAGCCTGATGATATATGAGATCACAGCCTGATGATATATGACACCACAGCCTGATGATATATGACATCACAGCCTGATGATATATGAGATCACAGCCTGATGATATATGAGATCACAGCCTGATGATATATGAGATCACAGCCTGATGATATATGAGATCACAGCCTGATGATATATGACATCACAGCCTGATGATATATGACACCACAGCCTGATGATATATGAGATCACAGCCTGATGATATATGAGATCACAGCCTGATGATATATGAGATCACAGCCTGATGATATATGAGATCACAGCCTGATGATATATGACATCACCGCCTGATGATATATGAGATCACAGCCTGATGATATATGAGATCACAGCCTGATGATATATGACATCACAGCCTGATGATATATGACATCACAGCAGGATGATATATGACACTACAGCCTGATCAGTGATGATATATGACATCACAGCCTGATGATATATGACACCACAGCCTGATGATATATGACACCACAACCTGATCAGTGATGATATATGACATCACAGCCTGATGATATATGACATCACAGCCTGATAATTAAATGATAATAACAACACAACATGGACAACAACACATCATTGCAGCTCAATCAAAAGTTAGAATAATGATATATTGAAATTGAAGCCCAATTACAACAAAACAACAAATTGAAACTCATTTCGAAGGCAAATGACTGTGACAAAACACACTTTCACAAGTCAGCCAAAATTAACAAACAAATGTCCAATTTGTAGTATTACCAATGTATATTTCACTTTCAATTTTGTTACAATGTATTTCTACACACGTAATCCATAAGTCAAAATTATGCATTTTTCAAAATTGACAGAATAATATCATTAATACATCAGTATAAATACATGAATTTCTACTGATAAGAGTTCTGATTAGAACTAACATTTTCTATGCTCCTTAACAAAGAACTAAACAAGTTTAACCCTTGTGGGAATCTAACACTATTTTTGAGTCAGTAGAGAAGTGAGGCTTATAAGTGAAATCCTAGCCTCTGAACAAAAAGTTAAATAATAATGAAAGCAGACACATGAAAAATACAGCATTACCTCTGGTTTACTATGGCCTGTTGGATCTTGAAGAGGGGTGGCAAACTGACAAACTTTTGTAATTCTCCCAAATATATCTGAAATTCCAGAGAAATTATTTTTGAAAAAGGACAAGTGATTATAAATACTATCTCTTGTTCAATATTCTACTATACATATATATTCTACACCCTGTTTACTATTTTACACAGCAAAGGTAAGTAATACTAATCTCCGAGACAACTGTGCAAGTGAATCAATTCTTCAGTTCAGTGGTCTACACTGCTTACTGTTTTCATCTGCTTGTAAACCTGGCAGTTAACGTTAGTTCGAATCTAATGCGAGAAAGCATTCTTTCAGAAGTGTTTGCATCTTTGTTTTTCATTTTAGGTGTGCTTTTAACGAAAAGATGTGTATGCAAACTCTTACATTGCATATGCCATTCTCGCCAAATGATGTTGTTCACTCTGATCTTGTCCTTGACATTCATATGCATTCCACGAAACTGTTTCCATTTTGGCGATGTCAACTTCCCGCTGAAAAAGAAACACAACACATTGCAAGTCAGCTGTTAGGAATTTTCACAACAAAGGTCACTTTTTACCTCACAGCAAAAATCAAACACTACATCAGCAGGACGTTACTTTACCAGTGCTGCTAGTGTCAACCTGTAACTACGCGTAAAGGTGAATTCAACATGACTGAAACTTATGACTGCAGTCATGACAAAACAACCTTTTACTCTATTTTAAAAATGATGTCAAAAGAAGTTAACTTTATCATCGATATTGAAAATCAAAATCTGAATTACCAAAGAAATGTTTAAGTGAACATCCGAGCCAAATTTGAAAAAAAAATCTTTCAGAATTATAGTATTTATAGAACTGACACAATACTGTCCAATACTTGACCTTCAAGTGTGACCTTGACCTTATGACAACAGAGCAACATTAAGGGTTCTGCACTGTGCACATCACCATGATTGAAAAAAAACCTCAAGGAGCAGACATAAAATTGTCTGTCATGAATTTAACAAATATTTAAGAGCAACCTTCACTGTGAACTGGCACAGCAACAGCATGGGTTCTGCATATTGCTTCCTTGAAGCTTTGCGTATAAAATCTGTCAACAATATTGGATTTATAAAGCTGTCATCCTGTTCTGACATTTATCATAAAGTATAACCTTGACTTGGCAAGTAGGTGGCACAGACTTAAGACTATGCTAATGGCCTAATTCTGGTGGACTTTTGTGCCAAGTTTAAAGAAATCTATTACAGGTATAGAACTATTTTTCAAAAGCGGTCAAGGTGACAAAGTTAGCCCCATTTTAGACAAATAAGGCCAATAAGCCAAATAAGGCCCAAAAAAATTTGTGTTGTTAGGGTATTATGCTATCCAGCAATAGGTAGGATAGGTCAGATTTTTTTATGGTCCATTATAGACATTTGATAAACCTGGGTAGAATAGGAACTGACTTACATGCAAACATATGACCCCTTAATACTGAATTGATAATAATACTAAAAACATTATTATTTTATTGATTGACAAGTTACAAAGTAACAGTTGTTATGCAATAATAAAGTAGGATAAATTGTTTCTATATAAAATTTCTCCAAGATTTAAATTACGAGAACTTTGTACAAATTGTCCTCTTTGAGAAACGGCCGTGGGCCTTTGTCATTGAAACCTCCCATAATGTCCACGAATGGCACAAGACTATCATTCCTAACTCTTCAAATGACATCTTGGATGTTACAATACTGAACACCAGACGTTTGGCAGTCTAATGGCGATCCCACACCCTTTTAACTTTTATTCACAAATTCGAAAACCTAGCTAAACGCCGTTTTCAGGTACTTTCTGTACATAGCTCTGGGGAATTCACCTAATGGAGTGTAATAGCGAACTCGATGTTTTCGGCCTTTTTAAAATTAAATTGAAATAAAATAGTTATTTCTTTATAAGAAAATAATTAAATATCATTGTATGAATAATTCCATACAAAAACAAGAGCTGTCACAGGAGACAGCGAAGCTCGACTAATAAAATGCTGGACGCAGTAAGGAGGACAAAACTATGAAAGAAAAATCGATTATGTATAATTAAGTATTAAGTTATAGTAAAAATATAACATTTGTTAACATAAATTCCAAGATCAAGGGGAATAATTCTAGAAATAGTCATGCAAGAGTTATGGACCTTGCCACACAACATTTGTGTAATGATAAGAAATATATATTTGAAGTTTGAAGTAGATATCTTAAAAAATAAAGAAGTTATTATATTTCTTAAAGAAAATCCTAAGTTCAAAGAGAGATAAATCTGTAAATATTGCTTCAAGAGTTATGAACATTGTCACATAAAATGTAAATGATTATAAGGAATAAGTATTTGAAGTTTAAGGTAGTTACCTTTAAAAATAAAAAAGTTAAAATAAAAAATAACATTTTTCTAGTAAATAAATCTAAGTTTATGGGGAGATAATTCTTGCAATATTGGTGCTAGAGTTATGAACCTTGTCACATAAGATGTGGATGATGATAACGTAAATATATTTGAAGTATGAAGTTGATCCCTTTAGAAATAAATAAGTTCAGGGCTCATCCGGAAGGGCGATTCAGGCGATAACTTCGCCGTGTATATTCCAATTTCGCTCTCCCGATTGATCAAAGAGAAGTCAACATCGCCGATAAAATCTTAATTCCCAAATAGTAATTACTTAGCGATGTAAAGAGCAGAGATTGTATCCGCCCATATGACGACCGCTAATTATCATTATCCAATCAGAGCGTCGCTTTATACTACCCTTCTACCTGTAAGCAAAGCGATAGACCGCCTACTCTAAACAGTAAATAATGAGAGCATCGGCCCGAAACGGTATGATAGTTTTGCGAGATTGATACGGGATTTGGCGATAATTATAGATTGTTTTTTCCCGATTATCTAAACACGTGCAATCTTCCCTAATTGATATACACGATGCACTTCGATGGTGGGTTTTTAACCCGAGTACAGGGCGATGTGTAATGGATTTTTCACGGCTATCACAAAACTGTTAGTCAATTAAAAATAATCAATTTCATTAATGATCAGCGACAGGATTAAAAACTTAATCATAGTTTTGAATGATTTCAGTCTGTTAACATCAATTTTTACTGTAAAATTGTTATGTCGCTCACGTCATGGCTACAAGGCGAATTAATGCCGAAACCGAGCAACTTAAAAAAGTTATGATTACTGATTCTGAATGATAGTTACACCAACGCGAAAATTTAAGAAAGCCAATTCGCAAAAATCTTGCGATTGGTATGTTGTAGACAGTGGGTTGTTCTCTTTGTAGAAATGCCAAATTTGACACAGTTTACGCACGTGGGCACGACATCCCGGCTAAACTACATATCGGTCGTATATCATGTAACGTATATAACAACACAATTTGTCAGGAAAGAAGTGTTCTTTTTGTTTCAATTTATATATTTGTTTTAATGTCGTAAATTACGGTAAATATGATGCTCAGATTAAGATTTATCAATATTGTAAATTTTAAAAAGCATTAATTATTTATAAAGATATCACCGAATTTAACATTTCATGAAAATAAAGGGAGGTAATTAGAAATTAATTTTCTACAATTTCTCAGTCAAATTTTTCAATAAGAAATGAATGTATGTAATTTTAGTGATCAAATATAATGTGCACAAATGTTTGCAGTACATATTTTACATATTATTTGATGTTTGAAAATTGTTTTATAAGCATAATTATATGCATATAAATTTGACATTACAACATTCAGGAATTTGAAAGAAATTTCTGTCACCAAAACAGAATAGAACAGATATTATTAATAAATATCCAATGTGACCTCATCTTCTGTTAAAGAGTGAGGAAAGTAAAGAATATAAAATTGATTTTATCATCATATCTTTTCCTTACACATTATCATCAACAAATCTACATGAAAATATATAAACACATATTTAGAGAAAGCTTATAAATAGCTGATCAATAGATATCAAAAATAAATTTTTTTATTCATATTTGCAGCTCAAAAACATTTAGATGCCATTGCCAGATCTACTATTGATTAATCTACTATTAATTAATACTACTATTAACCCATTACTTCATATACACGCCTTTTAACGCCTTTTTCACCCCCCCCCCCCTTTTTGTTGTCTCAAATGATGAAAAAATGCCTTATTTAGGCCCCAAACACTTGTTTTTGTTTGAGAAATGTTGTTAAAAAAAGTGACCTCTTTTTCGGCGCGGCCCCCCAACCAAAAGATACATCAGGGGGTTGCCAGAAGGGGGATGTGCCCCCTTCTGTTTGGGGGGTTTGAAGGGGGGCAGAGTCCCCCTCATCGCCAAGAAAATTTTGGACTTGTGAGAGGCTGTAAATGACCCCAGATTGATCATAAGGTAACGTGTTACCAACGCTGAAAAGCATTTGACTCTATCTCAATCCATTGAGAAGTTGCAGCACTTTGAAATCAATTTTGATGGAAAAAATCAACGCAAAATAGTGATTTTTGGCAATTTTGAGATGTCCCCTCGTTGCCATGGTAACAGAAAATTTAAGCCTGAGCATGTTGTTGCAAGGGCAATGGTCCAGTCAACATTTGTGCCAAGTTTGATTAGTGTTGAAGCAGTTTTTATAGTATTATAGCAATTTGAACTTGTAACGGGAGACTTTTCAATGAAAACAGCCATTTTTCACAAAATGCTCATGAAGCAATGGGTTAATTAATCTACTATAACTATTAATTAATAAACTGGAGAAATATTATATGTGATGTTAATTGTGTTTATATCATAATTAAAGGATGTATAGCCATGCATGTTAATGCATACACATTGGGTTGTTTCCATTCTCCCTAATTTTCGCGAGGAAGTCACTTCTCCCTAAAATTTCCCCCCAGGATGAGCCCTGAAGTTACAGTAAAAAATAATAATTTATTATAATAAATAATTTTTTAAGGAAAATTCTAAGTTCAAGGGGAGATAAATCTGAAAATATTGGTGCTAGAGTTATGAACCTTGTCACATAAGATGGGGATGATGATAAGGTACATATATTTGAAGTATGAGGTTGATCCCTTAAGAAATAAAGAAGTATCAGTAAAAAATAGTATTTTTTAAGGAAAATTCTAAGTTCAAGGGGAGATAAATCTGAAAATATTGGTGCTAGAGTTATGAACCTTGTCACATTAGATGTGGTTGATGATAAAGAACATATATTTGAAGTTTGAAGTTGATACCTTAAGAAATGACAAAGTTATAGTGAAAAATATTTTACTGCACCAAAACTTTAATCTAAAATCTGGATGCGGACGCCGACGCCGGGGCGAGTAGGACAGCTCTCCATATACTTCGTATAGTCGAGCTAAAAAAGTAAATACACAAGTTTACGCAGAAAATAACCTTATTTATTATGGAAGGTTACACTACGCCTGTTTTAATTTTATTCATTTTTATTATAAACAATTTATTTTTTTTAAAAATTTGCAATAGATATTTTAGGAATATTGATAATTTTCAAATACATCAATTTTTCTCACCTTAAACGGTAAAATAATGATAGAAAAATAGAAATATCATGTAGTTGTGTTATGTACTTCATTTGGCGTAATTCCCCAGAGCTAAATCCGTAACGTACCGGAAAACAGTGTTTAGCTAGGTTTTCGAAAAGGTCAATAAACACTGAGCCACTATTTTTGTTACTGAGTGGCGCTAACACCCATCACCTCTACAATACAGTGTGACAATTTTTTTTTTGATAGACCTTAAAAAAAAGGTAGGGTCAGGAATACTTTTAGCAGGGATAGGTCTGGTGGCTTTAACAAAACTTTTCTTCATTTCTAAGGCTTAAAGTCTGTGACACATTTCTTTAAATTTCATTACAGTAGCAGTCTTCGACTTAACCCACTCGACAGACGACTGAGTCGAGTAAATTTGCGGGTGGTCAAGTGAAAATTCCAAGCTGGTAGCCCGTCTGGTCGAGGGCTTTATTCATATCAAAATTAAGAAAATGTTGGAAATATGCAGAGCTTCAGATAGCAATGTTTTGGCTTTATGAAAATCCAATAGATTTCTGCTGAATTGGATGGAAAATTAAAAGTACTATTGTCAACACTGCTGTAAGTTGAAAACGAAAGTAGCAGGAAGTGACATCGAGTAAAAAGGGAAGGTAACTCTTGGGAGTTTCTGAAATGAAATTATTGATAAAGTTAAATTTGGTGTAATCATCGTAGGACTTAACCTAATATTCAATTTGTTTAGACATATATTATAATTTTTTTGCTACAAAATAAAGGAAAATGTTGTACTTGCCACTTTATTTATTGGAAAACATATTTCTCCCTTGCCACCTGCAGTTTTGTACTCAATATTTTCGTACCAAGTTTACAGTTACAGACAATTTCCTCAAAGACTAATTCTTTGTGTATAAAAGTTTTAATTCTATTATATTTATTTTTCATTAATTCTAATTTCAATTATAAATAATCAAAACCAAAGAACGGTACTAAAATGTAGTCTGTAGAAATAGAGTATGAATATAGCCTCATGCTGACCATGTAGCTGATTGTAAAAGAATGTGACACATTCAAACAACAACATGTCAGCAATAAAAAAATGAGTCTTGTCATTAACTTGCTGTGTAACCTAAACAAACCCTAGTCTAGGGAAGCCTGCCTTAACAGAGCAAGTTTTGTATTATTTCACATTGAATCAATATTTTATTATTTATGTAAGTCAGACTGATTTATGTAAAGAAAGGAACTTCTTAGAAGGCAATGAAATTTGATAACAAAACAATGCAAATTCTTTTTATAAATTTTACCCCAGAATTTTCATTTTACTCTAGATTATGATGGGTAAACCACCTTGGCCCTTAAAATTATTTGCAGCTTTATTGAACTTAAAACGCTTATGAAATATAATTGATTGTTAGACATTTATTAGGCGTCATCTCATGCTTCACAATATGTCTTTTCCCTTGTATTTTGAAGGCACTAAGCCAAAAAGGAACACACCAAAAAAAAAAAAAAAGTAATACGAAAAGGAATATAAATTTGTTGTCAATGCATGTATCAGCCGACATGGTTACAGTAAACGAGGAGAAGAGTATTTTCAGTTTTTAAACAATTTTTTTTTCAGTGTCTATGGACAATGCCACAGAAATATCAAAATATCTTCTTTTCATATGTAGTTTAAAGTCTTCTTATTTAAATAATGAAAGGAAGAAAAGTTGATTAGTTGATATTTTGATAATGTTAAATGGTATATAAAACATATAGAAAGTGTTATTTTTGTACAAAATGTATGCAAAAAAATACCATTTTGGTTCGGGCTAGTTAAAATGTGTTCGGGCTAGTGAACTTTGTAAGCTGCTAGCCCGACTGGGCTAGTGCTGATAAAAGATTAAGGTGAAGACTGCAGTAGGTGATTACATAACCAATAACACAGCAAATAAACCAATTTTAAACCCAAAAAATATCATTTTATAAATCAAATCTACAATTGACAAGTAAAATATACATTTAGAATAAGATGATGTGTATAAGTTAACACAAATATATACTTGTATGCAAGTGTCAGATGTTCAAACAAGCTTGACAGTGAAGCATCCAAAGTCAATGTTTGAGTTGATCTAGGACCAAACTTGTAGGTTGTGCACGTATCTTTGCTTGCTTTCGAAAAGTTAAATCCATCAGCGGAATCCGCATCTTCTTCATCCGAAAGATAGTCACCTGTCTTGTTATCATGGACTCTACTCAACATAAAATGTCCACTGTGGATACCTTCTTTCTCTTTACTTTGAGCTCGGTCTCTTGAATGCAACATTGCGACGCTGACAGGGTCTTGCATTTGTGTTTTCATGTTACCTGAGTTAGGATACAGTGATATGTTTGCTCCAAACATAACACGACCTTGAACAATTTCTAGTTATAGCAAGAACAGCAAAGAAAAATCTGATACACAAAAACTTTCGCTGCTGGCTGCCATGTTTTTCCCGAAATCTCATGAAAAAACTGCGTGATCAGTGGAATTGACCAATGAAATCGTTTGATATCTGTACAGCGGTCAAGGTTGGCAGCCTTAAGGTGAAGGTTACAAGTAGATTAACCCAACGGATGTTTATTATACAACAATTACAATTGCGTAGCTTTACAGTTCAGAGTACTTTAAAAGTATCAAATTAGAAGTATCACTGTGTCGGGGTGTGATAAACATATATCATTTGGATATTTTGTATGAATAGAATTAATCTGATTATCAATTCAATTTGAGATGTTATATATTTCCGACCCAACACGACGTAATTCTATTTAATTAATTATACTGTTCACATAGCCTACACTTATTCTTCCTCTTCTTCACCATTCCCTACTATAATAGTGCGAGACTCCTGCTTTCTGCAGCCATATTTTCAAAGATTATTCTCAAAAATAGAGTTTTTTTTTATCTGCCTTTTTTATGTCAGAACTTTCTTCTTTGTTTATTTCAATTTCTAAAAATGTAAATTTATAATTTTGTACATAGTACAGTACGATTGGTATGGGACAAAAATAACGGTTGTCCCGGGATTGGTGAATGCACAATGAAAATTTGATTTGAAATCTTTTTTAGATACGCGGAAATTTGTTTCAAGCTATTTCCGCAAATTCGTCTTTTTCTGTGGCATATTTTAATTACTGACAGCAACTCAATTTTACCATGATTTGCACGAGAAAGTACATGTTTAATAAACCGTTGGAAAGATTATTGATTTTTCTATCCACCAGCCTATTTTCGCACGATTTGCTCGTGCAATAGATTTAAGCAAGTCATTTAAATACATTAATATACTGGTTGTAAACATGGCTGAGTTGCATTGTGATTTAACAAAGAGCTTATTTCAAAATTCGTGGGTTATTGGGTAAATGCGCATCAGAAATAAAAACTGATCTAGATTAAGTTTAGGGTGAAAATGCCCTTCCATATCATGCAATAGACAGGTAGGTGTCAATGTTTAAGGAAGGTAGAACTAATGTTGAGGATGAGCCCCGCACTGGGCGACCAATTTCCACTACGTTTTAAAAAGACATCAACAGTGTCAAAGCCATAGTTGACGAAGATGCAGGATATACTGTGGGGGAGATAAGTGACAAATCAGGCCTTAGTGTGTCATATACGTGTTTTCCATATTGAAAGAAAAGTTACAGTTAAGCTACCCAGTGTATAAACAGTTTACCCAAATAATTATAGTTAAAATGCTTTTTCGGCATGCATTCTGAGGGTAGAAAAGTGTGTAGGGGTCCATGTCGAATATTTTGAAGGACTCTACTATATTCAATTTTTCACAGGCATGAATTATTTATAAAAACGCGCTGCCTTTGCCACAAATTAAAATATGCCCTTTGTATTACAGATAAAGCTCCTTGGTATTAGGTAAATTATTTTATAGAACATTATTAAATGGGCTCTTGTTCTTCTGATTAATCTACAGGGGGTGCTAATTAAGGTTATTTATCATACGAGAGACAAAACTTGTTTTGTGATATTGATAAGTGACAAAGCGAGCTGATCTTTTTTTGCACATTTTCTACTTAATTAATCTGAGTTTTTATTGTGGTGGTTGAAGTATTTTTACTTGAATACTGTTCAGTTTCTCTTAGGATATAAAACCATTACTTAAACATTATAAAACTTATATTTGCCTTTCCTTAAGAAGAAAAAAAAATTCCATTTATTCTGAGACATTATATACTTTGAAATAACCAATAATCGAATTCAATTTTTACTTGAACTACTGGTTCAGGGTGAGTGAAGTGCAAAGCTTACGTTCCGGTTTTATCCTTTCAAACTTGGACTGTAAGAGGTCTATCGGTAAAACAGCCCACTGCGTTTACTTAGAATTACTGATGACTTTTACTTTATATATTCATTATAATTTGGGCGTTTTTTTGTTTTTGTTTCTCAAGATTTGAAAATACTTCATTCACAAACGGAACACTGTCTGATATCAAATAATTTCTTTAAGATCTGATATCAAAATAATTTGTGTTTAAGTGCAAATGTTTCTATGACAAAACCAACATTTGGGATTTGCGACCAGCATGGATCCAGACCAGCCTGCGCATACACGCAGTCTGATCAGGATCCATGCTGTTCGCTATCAGAATAGGGTTTGTAAGCGAACAGCATGAATCCTGATCAGACTGCGCGGATGCGCAGGCTGGTCTGGATCCATGCTGGTCGCAAACCCATTATGTTGGTTTTGTCATGACGCGGCTCATATATATTTCACATTATACACACTTTTTTCCACTTGTTCCAGTGAATTCAAATCCGTCAATGAGTCCTATTATTTATTTGATATTTGTTTATTTTAAGTATATTTTGTACAATCATACAACTATTTAGTTGGATTGTGATTTTAAACTAAGTCGTGTTTAAATAAATCTCGAACCCGTTTCTTGAAACAAACAAGTATACTGGTGTGATTTGAAAAAATTTGGTTGTGACCGAGCAGCTCTGGGCCAAATGCTTGCATGAAGACTGACTCGTTGGTCACCCATCTCTAACTTTACTTTGAAGTTTAAAATTAAACATCAAATTAGCTGATAGACAAAATTATTTCATTCAAGAATTCATAAACAAATACCGATTTCACTCTAGAATAAATAAACAAAAACAAATAAATTTTTTGTACACTGATTTATAAACAAAGACAAATTTCATTAAAGGATAAATAAATACAAATTAACACATTTCATTCAATAATAATAATAATGATGATTGTGATTGTGATGGTGATGGTGGTGATGATGATGGTGGTGATGATGATGATAATGATGATGACGATGATGATAAACCTTAAAAACAGATAAAATAAATACAATAATTGACAGATATGCAACATACATTTTTAAACAATGACATAGTAAACAACAGGTTATATATCAAAAATATCTCATATTCAATTACATTGTAACACAGAAAACATACTGAGATCAAAAACTATTGGATTTCTCACACAGATTGTACGTATATTAATATACGTATGATATATAATATAAACTAAACAGTATATTAATAACTATTCAGTTTCAGCCCAAAACACATGTAGCATAGTCCCTACAATAACAGACGACCTTTTTTCAAGGTCTGTATTATATTCTCAGGAAGCATCGTTACCGCCCAATGGCCGGGTACCCTCAGGACGGATACTCCGATCCGAGCTGCAGCATATCATAATATGACAAATATTATTCTTATACAACGATGAACGATTCTAGGAAAATGTTGTACGTTTCTAGGGCGACGATGTACGATTCTAGGACAATTATGTACGATTCTAGGACAATGTTGTACGTTTCTAGGACAATGTTGTACGACTCAAGGACAATGTTGTACTATTCTAGGAGAATGTTGTACGTTTCTAGGACAATGTTGTACGATTCAAGGACAAAATGTTGGACGATTTTTATACAACGATGGACGATTCTTGGACAGCGATTGACGATTCTTGGACGATGAATTTCGCTTTAAACAACAGACAGAACTAATCGGCGCATTTCAAAGCGGCGTGTTCTGCTTTAACATTAATTCATTGTTTGCAATTATAACTCGTACGAAATGCTTGTATTTGAAAAGTAAGTTTTTTTTTCTATGTACAATATGTTATGCTACAAAATAGATTCCATATTGTCTGTTGCACGAAACAGTCCATGGAATGTGAGACACAGACGCTGAAATTGGTTGTCTGGATCTGGTCTCTGCCAGAGCAACTTGGATTTCTTGTCCGTGCGTCTGAAACCCAGCGTCTTCATCAAATAAGGGTACTTGGAGTCCAAATCTTCAATCTGGCATCTGTCGCATTCCTGTATACCGTAGCCTGAACATAAAGCTGCCAGCTGAAAAAAGATAGCACTTAGCATGTTACAATGGTTATATTCCTTTTTTATCTAAAACTGAAGCTGTGTCCATCCATTGTTATTTTTTTGTTAATTTTAACAGCAGATTTACAAATGCCTCGGTATATATAAATATATTACAGCGGCGGGAAAATCGCTGTAATCTTTTTCTGGTATGTTTGCTGACCGGCAAGAATATGTTTATCCCTAAAAGCGGAGACATTAAAACATTCATGATATCTGTAAAATTGAATTCTGTAAATCAGCAATTTTTATTCAAGCTAGCAGTTTTGATTAAAAAAATATATGAAATATCTGAGATTTTACTTACATAATTTGAATATTTTTGTAACTTATCAAAAAAGCTTGAAGTACCAATAATAAAATTACTACTCACTGTATTATTCAAAAATAGTCCTTCTGAGTTTTCAATTCGAGACATCAATTGTAAGTTTGTCCATGTCATATCTGAAAGCCATCCAAACATGTTAATAACATGCAGTAATAAAAATAATGATGATAATAATAATAATAATAATAATAATAATAATAATAATAATAATAATAATAATAATAATAATAATAATAATAATAATGATAATGATAATGGTATTAATAATAATAATAATAAAAAATAATAATAATAATAATGATAATAATAAATACAACTATAATAAGATAATATTAATAATGATAATAATTAATGATTAATAATAATAATAATAATAATAATAATAATAATAATAATAATAATAATAATAATAATTTGATGATGATGATGATGATGATGATGGTTGTGTTGGTAGTGATGATGATGATGTTGATGACGGTGGTGATGGTGATGATGGTGATTGTGCTCAGGGCGGTGATGATGGTGATGGTTATGGTGGTTGTGATGATGATAGTAATGATGGTGATGGCGATGATGATGATGGTGGTCGTGGTGGCGATGATGATGACAATTGTCGTGGTAGTGGCAGCCATGATGCTGATGATGTTTGTGGTGGCGGTTATAATGATTACTAATAATTGTGGTGGTGGCGATGATGATAATGGTGGTGTTGGGTGGATTGTGATGAAATGGGATAATGACAATATCTTAATTATGAATAAATACAAACCATACGGTGCAAATGAAACATCTTAATTTCTGAACAACAAACAAAAACATTTTAATACTAAATGCCGTAAAGTGTCCATAGATAAATGTCAGGTGTTTTGAAGTTGTAAAACAAAATGTCAGAAAAGTATTTATTTTCTTCTTAAATTATGCACTAAAATTCAGTCCTGAAAATACAAGCTGCTCGTAAAAAGTCCATTCAGAAAGGACTTCCTATACATTTGCTTTAATAAGTCATCATCCCATACCTAACATAGCTTTTATCAGATGACAAAATCCCGTTAAAGCATTCGTTTCCGTTTTCTTCCCAACCGTGACGTCAACGTGCTCTATATGACGGACGGAATCTGGTGACGTAAGTTCAAAGTTTAAACCTTCCATAACCGTCATCCAGTCTGGACAGGTAAGACATTTTGGATCAGGATTGTTTCCTATTTGAACAGTTTCGCCAAAACCTTTCTCTGTCGCCGTAATGCCATTTGTTACCTATATATACATTTTTTAAAATCAAGTGAATATATCAGTATAAATATAAATCATCTTCCGTTAGGCGGCCGTCGTACATATTATTACACGACTTGTTGAGTTTTCTTGCCCGGTTTTGCGTCGCGCAAACACAGTACAGATCATATGACGACTTTCCAGTTCTACTGGTGGAGGAAGAATCTCGGTGCACTATTTCTGGCACGAACGGGCACCTGAGTAGAACCACCGAGGTTCCATAAGCTAGCTGAGTAGATTCATCGCTTGAAATATATCTCGGGAGTCGAACCCGCAGCGGTGAGGGGCAAGTGGTTGGAAGTCAACGACCTTAACCACTCAGCCACGGATGCCAAAACTTTCTGAATAGCAAAATATTAAATTATAATAATAATCGTACATATTTTAATTTTTGTACCACTCCAACTTCTAGCAAAGGTATCAAATGAAATTGAGTACATTTATCGGTTATTTGAAGACCTGCGATCCGATGTACACTGTATATGAAATCATTTTAGTACATGAAAATTTAATTGAATTTTGAATTTAAGAAATTTAAGAATTTAAGATGGATACAGATTATTGCCAGTATATAGAAAAGTGCGTGGTCAGAAAATAAAATATCGTCAAATCGTAACTGTACTCGTACATTTGAATGAAGAAATGTCAAACATTTACGGGTTGACGCCTCCGACTTGCATTCTTTAAGGATGTAGAAAAGACCTTTGCGCCACCTAGCGTCTGGTGCCGTGTTCTGTAGCAACTGATTTATGTCTTCATGTTGATCCTCCTGATCAAGACGTGCGTCTGTAATGTTAAAACGTCACTATATGGTAGCTGGTTTGTGCCATGTCGTATTTTCAAAGTCGCAACTTTGTCGTACTTTCGCTTCGCGGGACAAAAGGCGAAAACACAATAATACGACAAAGTGATGACTCTTGTATTTTCGTGTTTACGCCTGGTGCCCCGCGCAGCAAAAATACACAAACACGAAAATACAAGTAACTTTCGAGGGATGCGCACAAAGTTGTGACTTTGACGTATTTTCGTGAATCGTCCGGCGCCCCGAGGAGCGAAAGTACAACAAAGTGGTGACTTTGTCGTATTTTTCGTGTTTTCCTCTGGCGCCCCAGAGTGCGAAAATACGACATGACACAAACCAGCCACCATACCACTATGATCATAGTTATATATCAGCTGTTCAAAAATGTGACAATTTACATGTATGATAATATACATTTTTTTAAAATGATTAGTAAACTAAACTAAAATGATAATTGACGACATAAATTTAATAATGACATTCTTTATAAATAATAATTTAATTCTAAAATGACCTACACATTTTCTTTTTTCACCATGCAGATTGTACATGCGCGGAAAAGTAATACATCCGATCGATTTGCATTTTTCTACCAATGTCTTTACTTTGTGTATATGCTAGATTGTGTATGCACATGCGTGAGTAACAGGTATGTGTTTATGCACACAAGCACGTGTGTTCATAATTATTATGTGATGTGGACAATTATTAGGAAGAATAAGAATATTTATATACAAAGATGTACAATTTCATACCTAAGTCAGTTCCCCACGATTCGATTTCCAGCTGTCTAGGATTGTACGTACCCTTTGTACCCTGTGTATATAATGTATATATAAATATATCTTCAGATTAAGGTAACATGGTATTTGTTACTGTAAAATAACTGTTTAAAGACTTGTTAGATTCTTATTACCTGAAATTAGTAGCGCATAATGTGAAATTACTTGTCAAAAAATAAGGAAAATATAAATGAAATAGCATTTGGCTTCTATACAAAACGTCGTTAATCGGTATAATTGTTTTAATTGCCAAAAAACAGCAGAAGGAAAAGATCATTCAGGTTATTGTCTTGCCCAGTGTGTAATTTTTTGGAAACTATAATCGAACATCCGAAATAAAGAAAAAACTTTAGAGAAATAAAGATAAAACCAAACTGGGGGCATAATGGGCTTCAAACTAAAGCATCTTTTAGATATCATAAAACCCATGTTTGAACGTTTTAGAGAATTGTTTTTGAAAAAAAAGTTTCTGAGGCATAATGGGCCTTTATTAGAAATGGCTGTAATATTAGAAAATGATTATGATATCCATAACTAATGAAAATTACATATTGTGTGGCGGATATATGTTCGTTGTAACCGATATCTCGTTAAAACCGATTTCGTTATAAACGGTAAAAACGAAAGGAAAAATAGAAGGGAAAAGGCGGGGACACGGTAGAATGTACGTTATAAGCGGTGCCTCGTTAAAACCGATCTCGTTATATAAATGGAGTAGACTGTTGATAAACGTCATTTTGAAATAGAGCTCTATATCAATAACTGAATGATTCAGCTATATTAAGTATAGGTTGACATTCAATCTATTTACAAACAGAAGAATACTATTATTTATATACATTATACTAGTATAAGCCAGTAAAACGATACCCCCGTCTTTAGAATATCATAATAATAGGCTATCAATCCTGTTATTAATTTTTGAAAAGATTTTTTTATCTTTTTTTTTCACAATCATGTCATGCAGTTTAAAATGAGAGAAGCACCTAAATTAAACCTTTTTTTAAATGTATAATTACGAAATTTTTGGATGTCAGGCCAGTCAAAGTAAAGTTTGTTTATATTCTGATTTCTATGTTTGTTTTGGACATATTTTATCTAGCCAATTTACAAGCATGTATCATTGACATCACAATATATATCTGTATAATATCTATATATATATATATGGATTGGAAAACAAGCATAACACTTATATTAATTTCTATCAAGTCAAAGTAGTGTAAAAACAGACTTGATCTTACTTTAGAACGAACACGGAAAGAATACAACGAAAACAATACAATAATGTAGATGTATATGATATTTGAAAATCAGTCATACACATGTAATTTTTTATATTATACTGCATATATTTGACAAGGGATAAAAAGAGACTCAAAGCATTATACTGTTATATCAAAACCCCTCGCCCCCTCCCAAACCACATAAACTGTAAAGTTTTCAAGCGGTTGAATGTTAAATGTGTTCAAGTAAAGTATCAATATAATAGGTTAGTTTCATTTTTTGACGAAAAATCACTAATCCCCTGTGGATTTTATCAACAGAAACCCATTTTAGTACAACAATTGTACGGTGGCGTAGAGGGGACATCAGAAATATCTGAAGGTCCCTTTATGCCACTGTACAATTGTCAACGGCCACGAAATTCTTTTTATATCAAACGTTAATTCTACATAATTGTAATGATATTATAATAAACGCAACCTGTGTTTATATATCGAAACATGACACTTATTCAAGGATATATAATTGGCCTTCACTATTGTACAAGGAACATATATATTATATATATCAAGGAACATATTTGTATGACAGTGTGTAATCACTCTAATCAGATAAAAACTCCTCCATTGTCCAAACTACTGAGGTATTTACTAGTTATGAACACTAGATAACCAAATGTTTCTGATAACTCGTCAATCATAAATGACATAATAAACGTATATAGACGAAAATGTATCTAGTCGAAAACGTGCCAACGATCGAAGAGAAATAAAACGTAATACATTACATCTAAAATGTGAATTGATATGACCCGGTATGAGTGCTTTACTGTATATTCAGTGAAAAATATTTTACTAAAAATACAATATTATTTGGAGCTTTGAAAAGCAATTATACACTGGTGAAAGTTATAAAATTCAAATTAAACCCTCAAAGGAAATCATATGAAAAAAGAGAAGTCTTTATAAGGCGATTGCTATTTTTTATCAAACATTCAATAATTAAATGAATATTGATCTAGGTGTTTTCTTTTTTAAAACATCGTCGAGTTTTGAATAAGATTATTCCATTATTGGTCATTTTCTTATCTGTATGTATACTAAACGTAGATAAACCGCATAGCACTTTAAGGTACAAGTCTTAGATAAAATTAAAAAAAATTCACTAGTAACGAATATGACAGTTTCAAGAAGAAAAAAAAATGACAATGGAATCATATTGATTTTTATAGCTTATTAAAGATAAACAAGAAAACTTTAAAAGGATATAAACATCAAAGACACAAGAGAAATAAATTATTCCAGGGCTCTAGCCAAGAATTTCTGAACATACGTTTCGAAAAAAAAACCCAGGCAATTGGCTCGGCTTGGAATTTTGACAGCTTAAAGGAAATTTTGAATATTCGAATATTTCAATAAATATTTCAAGAAATATTTGACACTTACAGTGAAAATGTCGGAAATAAAGCCGTCAGCAATGTCCTCGTCTCTAAGATCATCTTCTTCTGTCCCATTTCTATCTTCCACCTCCACGAGACTATCTTTATCAAATGTTTTATCCACTTTTATATCTTCTGAAATGGCCTCAGCCATGTTATGTTATGATATTCCGATGTTATTAAATGTATCGAAGAATAAAATAAATATGAAAATATAAATACTAGCGTATTATTTTTACAATTTCGCAATTTCACTCGTTTTAACTTCAGTTAAAATGTAATTTGATATGGTTGATATAATGATACTATATATATAATGAAACCAATAAAGTACAATGTATTGTTTTTTCCTCTGTCGTTCTCAATCGCAACTGTATATTTCAACTTTTATACATGCACATATTTCTCTGTTTTAAAAAAAAAAATTGAAAAAAAAAATCCCAAATTAGTCACAGATAAGCAGTCTACACATACTGTACATATGAATTAAAGGAGGTCAACTCTTTACAAAATTAGCTGTCTGTTAAAAATAAATGTTCCAAGTCTATACGAGCGTTAGCTAATTTACATGATTGTATTAGGTTTCAACTCTTCAAATACTGATATTTGTTAAAGAGAGGGTAACGTGTGTTAAACAAAATGTTCATAAAGCGTACATTAATGGGAATTGATCTGGTTTTTATTTTTGTACCAGCTTTGAGTTTAAATAAGGTTATTCCATGAATGGTCATTTACCCCCTTCTTCTGTATATATTCTATAAATAGACCAAATCGGGTAGAATTTCCGGACAGTCATATTATAATACTAAATATAAATATAGACACAGACATGGTCATTTTTAAGCGTGGCTTAATTCATACTGTCCTACAAAACTTTGTTGCCACTATATTTTCTTCGCTTTGATGAAATATGTATGTAAAATTTGAATCGACAAACAAATAACTGATGAAAATAATTTATTGATAAATGGGTCAGAGATCAGTCGTGTGTGGATTTGTACACACTTTACATGAAATCAGAAGCCAAAATGGCTTAAATCTGCTTAAGGGGACTTCACTTAGGAGCATTCAGGAAAGAGAAAAGAAAAAAAAGAGGAAAACAAAAAACAGAAAAAAGGTTAAAATTGCAGACTGGGGCTTAATCTGTTTAAGAGAGATCATGAAATTTGGAACAATGTCTTGTTTCAGTTTCCGGAACGATACTCATTGGCGATATAAAGTTGTATCATCTTTTGCATTTTTGCCATGAATAAATTTATAATGATTGAGAATTTTTTTTATCTTTTATTTATTTTTTTTTCATTTAAAAAAAAGAGAGAAAGAAAACACTGAGAGTATTGTATGGAAGACAAAATACCACTTAGTGTTGCTACTTTAATGGCTATAATTTCACATTCAATGTTGTTTTCTTTATGTGATAATTATCTATATAGAATAAGAATTAAAATAATATTTACAATTAAAATGAGTATAATAATAATAATTATGATGATGATGATAATAATAATAATAATAATAATAATAATAATAATAATAATAATAATAATAATAAAATAATAATAATAATAATAATAAAAATAATAATAATGATTATAATAATAATAATAATAATAATAATAATAATAATAATAATAATAATAATAATTATAATAATATAATAATAAAAAAAATAATAATGAATTAATAATAATAATAATTAATGATGATGATGATGATAAATAACAATAAAAATAATAACAACAACAACAACGATTATAATAATAATAATAATATGATAATGATAATGGTAATAATAATAATAATAATAATAATAATAATAATAATAATAATAATAATTATAATAATAATAATTATGGTTATTATGATTATGAAAATAATAATTACAATTTTAATGTGTAGTTAAATAACAATGATATACATGTAATTATAATAATAAAGAAAAGAAGAAGACGGAGAACAACAACAACGACGACGACGATGATTATTATAATGCTGGTGATGATTTTGATAACAATTATAACGATAATGAAAATGATGATGATGATACTTATGATGATCACGAGGATAGATTTCCGTGTATTCTTTTAAAAACTTCACGAAGTTTTTTCTGTGCAGTATAAGTTTTATATTTCAGATATACGTAGGTATGTAAACATTTGGTAAATAATGATCTGTACCCGTTTACCCAGCCCAATAAATGATGGAAAAAAATCTGTCATATCATGTGAAAATGAATCGGCGGAAATCCCTGAAATATATTCGAAAATATATGAAGTACACTTTCACGTGATGTTTCTTTACATCACTATACAAAATTCTTCTTGTACAGGAATCCATAAGGCGTAAAGGAGAAAGCGTTTTGTTTAATGTACTAATCATATGCTATATAATATTCTAGATTTTAATACCAAGGTATATAAAGCAAAAACGTGTTTTGTTGTAGGTTTTATGTTGAAAACATGATATACCTGATACTAAAATATTTTTTTTATATTTTTAAATGTTACACAGACACTTGTGGAACTCGAAAGGCTGTTTTGAAAAAAAAATCTATATAATTTTTTTGCACTTTACATCTCTGTGCTTGAAAAGTTCTAAAATTTGACAAAAATGCTATTTTATGTCCAGTTCTATCAAGCTGATATTTAACATTTATTCTATGAGGATAAACAATGGAGAAAAATGAGGTTTTAATTTCAAATGATCCTGATCTTAGTGAAAACTGGACCGCAAATACAGCCGGAGAATCGTCATTATTATGTTAATCTTCATAGTGTTACTTAAAACTCAACCAAATATGTTTTTGATTTAGTCGATTTCTAAATAGATTTGTGTATTTAAGTCGATTTCTAAAATAATAAATGCAATGCGGTCCATTTCTAAAACTCTATGTACGTATGTGATTTTTACGATTATTAAAACAATATATGCGTTTGACTCTATAACAAAATATGAATATGTAATGCGGTCCATTTATAATTACTAAAACCAATATATGTGATTTACTCGATTATAAAAATAATGTATGCGATTACAAAAATAAAATATGTAATGCGGTCCATTACTAAATAAATATGTGCGAATTACTGTTTTACTAAAATTATGTACATGTATATGTAATGCGGTCCATTTGCGAATTACTCTTTTACTAAAATAATATATGCGTAATGCGGTCCATTACTTAAACAAGGTATGTGATTTACTTTACATGAAGTATGCGATTTAAGTTGCGCTAAATAAGATACCGCAACGGGCCTCACTTGTTAATAGAAGGGAGACTACTCCTTATAAAACAAGTATGGTTCTCCGCTCAATATTTACAAACAAATGAGAGTGCTGATCGAAGCGGTTCAAGCGTATACAAACAGTATCGGCCCAGATATTTCATGATGACGGACGAAGTAAAAGTTGACAAGATCCCGACACATGTACCAAGTCTAGAAGATGTAACGAAAGGTAAATGTTTATTATACTGTATAGAATGCAAATGTTGTTTCCACGTGACATTTGTTTGTATTGATTTTATTTATGCAGTGTTTAAATGCCGTGCTAACTTTTGAACCCGTTACTATACCTGCGAGGCTGTGGAAGGGGGCGGGTTTTCTTTTGCTTTACTATAACCAAAGGCTTTGTAAAAGGTGAGTATTCATGCTTTATACCTGTGAGGATACAGATAATTAGTCAAGTACGAAATAATGTGTACTTTTAAGGTACTGTCGAATTCAAACTCAAGCCTATTTTTTTAAAAAAATATTCCGACACGAGTATATATAGGCCTATATTTTTATTTTCGAATTTTTAATTGTATGTGAAAAAAGTTGACCAACAAAAAAAAAAAAAAAAAAAAAAAAAATAATAATAATAATAATCTAATATCTTCAAATTGGTAACGAAAAGTCTTTTTAAGAAATTCAAGAGGTTAAACTAGATGAGCTAAAATTAATATTTCAAGAAAATCAAACTTGAAAAAAATGTACTAAGCGTTTTTAAAAGAAGAATGAAAAGATACAAAATTCACGTAAAAATTAACATTTTATATGCGATTAATGACTGATTTTGCAGATATTTATCACCATATTTCTACAGTGTGACTAACGCTGTAAAGGCTATTTTTTTTGCACATTTTGGCCTATTTTTGGTAATTTACGTTGATTTTATGTGCTATTTGCGATGTGTTAATTACTTTCTTTGTTCACTTCACAATATTTTACTTTTTGAATGCATTTTCAAAACTTTCATAAAACTTGGCATGCTTTTTCAAGACTGGATTAACACATGTCCCTTTGCCTCTTTTCCAGTCCTCAGAGAAGGTTTGGCGAAGAATTTCACCAATTTAGAGGTTTCGGTGGTGGACTGTCCGGATCTTACACAACCTCCATTCCATCTGTCATCAGAAGGTACGGAATATTTTAGACTTTTGTCCTTAGGCTAATCATTCTGCGGAATATGACTTTCCCTCACAAACATATTTAATGCTCGTTAGGTAGCAACAACCCAAAATAACAAAATCCTTTACCATACAGGGTAATGCTTCATCCAGAGGCTGTGCTGTAAACCTTTCAAATTTAAATTATTTTTATTATTAAATATAAATGCTGCCAAATTGTTTGTACATTATTTTTAATGATATTGATAATTCCCTGTAAATGTTACTAGTTTGGAAAACACCAAATTTTAGCTTTTTGGAACGGGGGGGGATAAATCTGTAATGGGGAATTTTAAAAGTTAATTAAAAGTCGTAAAATTATATGAACTTTAGGTTTAAACGTTTTTCTTTTAAAATAGTTTGCGTGTTTATTATTTTCACTAATGTTTTGTATTTCTGTATCTATACTGATGTACGTGTTTTTATTTAAGTATTCAACAAACATTTAAAACATATCATTTAGAGTTTTATGAATAAACTCATTAGATATATACTTCACTTAAATTTAAAAACAAAAAAAATTTTTTAAAGTTGGAAAAGAATATAATTGTTTGGGCCCCCCCTTTGAAAACAAGCGAAAAATGCCGTGATCCTCCAGTTTGGGCCATGCGCTTAGGCTTCTGGATCTTTCAAACGGATGTGCCGTCTCATTTTGTTGGTTTTTTCGTTGAACGCCTCATATAATTTGTTCTTAAAAAGCGAAGCCAAGTGCGTGATCTCGCAGTTTGCCAAAGTGTTAAGATTCTTTCAAATAATGGGGCAAAAGAAGTTTAGTTGAATTAATAGCCAGTCGGTGGGGGAGTAAGATGGATAATCTTCGATTTTTTTATGTCTTTGAAATTATTATTATGTAAAAACAATTAAAAATATTTAGCAATTTTAATTTAATGATAAAAATAAAAAATTTGAATTTCAAGAAACACAAAAACAAACTGATTGTTGTTAAAAGTGAC